ATAAATAAATCCGGGATAAGAGGCAGCGGTAAGTGTGCAGCTTTGAGGAAGCTGGAAGGATTACGGTACCACCAGGACATTGGGTAATACACAGAAAGGGAAATGGGTAAAACATTCACACGAAAACCAAACTGCTAAACTAGAGAAAATGGCAGCAGCTGCAGCACATTTCGAGCAAGGTTTCATGCTGCGAGGAGGGACAAGGGGCTGTAGTTAAAAAGGTAATGTACTTCTGTTATTAAGAGGCATTCTAAAACACCATAACAATAAGCTTTACTAAATCCAAAGTTGGTAGATCTGTTGATTCTATTCATGTTGAATTCAAGTTGAACATAGTATTTGGCAAATACTGAGAGGGGATAAAAGGTATGCAGTTAACAATATAAATCAATCCAAAAACAAACCCTTCAACAGCCAAACTGCTAATTCCATCCTTTGACACAGTCTAGAGAAAAAACACATAAGCTGCACGGATACATTTATATATTTTCACAGCTTTTTTTCTAGGATCCTTTCCATTTATGACTGACAAAATAATAAGTATTCTCGGATACTCCAAAATGCTTCTACCATTTAGATATAAATAGTTTCCTGGTCTAGAGATGCCGTTGCGTTGCATGATGAATTGCGCTGAGGCCAGGGAAACATTAACAGGCGCTGTGAGAAGGGTCCCGCCATCTCTCAATGCCAATTTTGTAAAGCTGGTACTGTACTGAGCTGCATGGTGCATCATGGGAGTGTTATTATCAGCTCAGGTAGCTCCCTCCTTGATTTTGCATAGAGGCAAAAGAATGCAGATGGAGCCATTTATAGCCGGAAAGATACTGGGAGTGGACACACAAGCCAGGAACACTATAGCAGCCACAGTGTGTTGTCGTAAGGAAACACACTGCCTCCAAGTGGACTGTGCACGCCACTGCAGTGTAGAAACATTAAACCTGCCAGGAGCTTAATATCTTATCTAATCTTTCATGCCAACGAGGAACAAACACAGCGAGGGTTTTGCTTACATAAATGCTATAAACACTAGTTGCGTTCTTCTTTAAGAGGATTCAACTGTACTTTTTGCTCACAGCCATGATTACATGCCTTTCCTTTTTAATAACCCTAGCATCTAATTCAGAGCAGCAGGCTTATGCATTCACAAGACTAAAAGAAAAGCTATCAGCAAACTCCTGGCCTTTCATTCAACTCCTAGCAGACTGTCACTGTCCTTACAGACCACATGGATTATGCAGCATAAATCTGAAAGAATCACAAATTATATTGGACACAGACACTGCTTTGTGACAAGATTATGGCCACGTTTACACGGAAACTAAATGGAAAACGAACCTTAGTCGATATCAAAAAAGTCTGCCGTCCACACGGAATCGGCTCAAGAAACGTGTCCGTCTGTAAGAGGCACTGTACTTCCGCCACAAAATACACCAAAGGCAGCGAATAAGACCTCCGAGCATGGTTGCCATGGTTGCCTGGTTGCCCTTCTGTTTATTCTCCACGGTGGATTTAGCAACATGTAGTTCATGTAGTTCTCCATGTCCAACATCTGTAGCATGGTCAGTAGCGTCTGGAGCACGAAAGCAACCCTGTGATCCGCCATTGTTGTTGTTGTTGTTGTTAGCGAAACACATCAGCAATGACGCGGGGGTCAGCAGCAGAGGTGGGGAGAGGCAGGGCTATGGCGTCATCGTTATCAGGAAATGATCGTATAGGACGTACACACGGAGCCGTTTGGCCCCTAGAGCATTTCGTCCGCAGATCTACCCACCTTGGGAGCCGTTATCGATTGAGGGCTCCGTTTCCGCGGTTCCGTTACGGCCTCGTGTGGACGAACCGCCCATACGATAGAGAACTGTATCGGATACAACCCGTTTCGTCTCCGTGTAAACGTGGCATATATTTGTGGTTTTCCAAGGAACTACTTACTATTTCCAGTGAACAATGGCAGAAGGAGTAAGAGAGAGAGACAGACAGATGGGAAGAAAATAGGATGAATAGGGTGGAATAGAGAGCTCAGTGCATCTAATTACAGTAAGTGGGCTCATTTTCTCTAATCAAATAGCCCAGTTAAATATCTCAAAGGCAGATTCCCCATAGAGCCGATCTTCACACATCAGCTATCAGTCACTGAATCTCACCCTATTCTTCTTTATTCATATTGTTCCTCTTTTAGAGAGCCCCAAAGCTGAAATCATGTATGTATCTACAGATTTGTAGCAGTGCTGGGTTTTGTTGCATTGGCCTGGGGCGGCAAGATGGCTGCTACTGATTATAGTCACAGGGGACACACATCATCTAGTTAAATACAAACTAGCAGCCCTGTGGCCTTTTCCTTCTGCAGAATATCCCAGCATTGGATTTTGACTTCAAATATTCAAATCCCAAACTCTTTGCACAGTTATTTTAATTGCAAAATTACAGGATATTATATTATAAGTATAATAATGTTGCCGTAGTAAATCCTGCCAAGCCATGCAAAGATCATCTTGTACTTCTGAACTGTTTTGTGGTACATTCAGTAGAAGATACTTTAACTAGCACTGATTACAATTCTCCAATCTATATCTGATTATTCTCACAATACGTAATTATAAAAAGATGTAAGCACTGCTATCAAGTTACGTTGTACTTGGGAAGCACAATATTTGATAAAACGTAGGATTGGATAAAACAACATACTTTTTGTTCTGCTATATGAACAAATAAAGGACTCTCAAGCCACATGACAAGTCTACCACATGACAGTAACTGCACTAAGAAATTAAGAATGATTCTTAATCAGATTCACATTGCTACAGCGTGTGTGCTTGTACTGACAGCACCAATGCACACAGATCACACACACACACACACACACACACACACACACACACACACACACACACACACACACACACACACACACACACACACACACACACACACACACACACACACACACACACACACACACACACACACACACACACACACACACACACACACACACACACACACACACACACACACACACACACACACACACACACACACACACACACACACACACACACACACACACAGCTCTCTTGTCCTTTTCTTATTGTTTTGATAACTTTGCCAAATTACCATTACAAATGCCACTATTGTGAGATAAACAAGTTACATTTTCAGTGGCTCAGAGTTTTCGTCTCCTTCACATGGTATAACAGTAAACACATAAAGCGTATTATATCATTTCTAGTCCAGCTCATTTTAAGCTCTTTACGCATTCCTGCGATCAGGTGCCGGGGTACAGGAGTACAGAGAGCCAAAGACAAGGCCAGCAATGCTATTACCACACAGTCAGTCGCCAGGTCAGCATTCCTCTAAGGGAGAGAGAAGCCTTGGCAGGAAAAATGCAGTGAGAGCTGGCAGAAACCTCGTGACACTTTTGCTTTCCTTTTCAGCCTTTGTTCTGCTCGTTTAATCCCTAATTATAAAAGGAAGGAGGAATCTTTAAAAAGTGGAACTGATTAATGGACTAAACAATGTACAGTGTGTGTCTGTGTTGTGCTAAAGGTTCCCGAAGTTGTAATCAGGTACAGTATATGTACTTGGTAATAGCCTAAAAGTGTATTAGCTGAACAAAGTCAACCCCCTATAAAAAGGGAAATTACACTTAATGACATCAGAAAAAACACCTGCATTATTGTAAACCAACACTTCGATAGACTAACTCTTACAAAAATCTTAACTTTTTTAATCACAGACCAAAGAGATGAAAGTTGAAGTTTCATAGTACTGTTTTAATGTAAAACAAATGAGTATAATTTCATATTAAATAGGATAAAATTGAAACTAAGGGGCCTACAAACATAAGCTTCCTCACACCCTGATTGAGGATAATCTAAAGTGTGCTCCTGAAGCTTACATTAGGTACATTATTATTTTTGTATGTAATGTTTGCTGCAGGCCTATATTTTTGAATTACTTAAGATTGCCTTCTGATGCTGGTACTTATGTACTGCTATCAAGATGTCATAAAAAGTAAAGTCATACCCTTTACCTTTCTTTCAACCCTCTCACTCTTAAAAACAACAACACTTGGAAATGAACCCACTTCTCACTCACACTAGCACATTCTACGACAACTAGCAATCAGGTAAAGCTGCAGTAGCTTTAAGTGTTACTGAAGTTTTTTGCCTTATTGACCTCATCATCGCTAAAGGCTTTTGGCTGTTCTCCTCCCCTTTCCCTTTCTGTCTGAGATGTGCCACTTCACATTTAAGAGAGGAGTGGAGAACATTACATGCTCGTGGCAGCTGCTTCAACAGGAGTGCTTATCAGTTTAAATATGAATAATTGTGAGATTATACAACAACAAAAATGTCATACCTGGAGCTGTCATTTGATTGACTTTCAATTAGTCAATCAACTAAATATTTCTTACTGAGAAGGTTGTTAATCTGACAGCTTTCATATTGAGTGAGTTATAATATTAAGTAGATATGAGATCTTTTAATTTTTGATTAATTCTCAAATTTTCTTGATTAAAAGTTAATTTTATATGATTTTTTAAACCCCGACAACAGTGGGAAGGGATTAAACTGACGGCAAATGTTTTTAATAAGAATCGTTTTTTAGGACTGACATATTAAAGGTGCTTTGAGCTGCTGGGAAATTATGACTATATTGTGAACAAATGTTTTAGAAATATATATTTTACGGGTTGAAAATTACTCAACAGGCCATCTTTCCACCCTGAACCTTGCAGGATAATGCCGACAGAGTCGACAGGTTTGTTCTAATTCGTGTCATGAAATGTTAACTAACATTTTTTTATTTTAACGCCCACTGAGCCACTCATGCTTCACACATCCATGCACTCACCCTGCTCAACCCCTCCCTATCTCCCACAAAGGCTCAGACTTAAAAAAAAGATTCTAAATTATTCAGTGAGTGAAGTAATGCTGAGACCTTGGGGTGAAGTTACACATTAACAAAATTAAAAGGGAAAGCTGGAAACTGGGACTCACCATGCTGTTGAGGTCTGAATCATCATAGCTGTCACATGGATGTGTCCCCGGCCCCCCAAGTGGCTCGAGACCATCCTCATCCCACATGTAGGTTCCACCAGAGCTGTTGGAGGGCGACATCTCCACAGACGAAGCATGAAGGACGTCAGCCGGCTCTGAAGACAAGCCCAGCGGTCCCTGAGAGTCCTGCATAGGGCTCTCTTCTTTATGTCCTGCAGAAGATAAATAAACGCATGTCTGAGAAACGGACAAAAATTTAACAAACATTAAATGAAATTACGAAAATATCTTACCTGCCAGATCCATAGTGTCCCAGTCAAGGCTCTCATTGAGAAAGCTGTGTAAGCGAGTTTGAGTAGTGCTGTCAGTTATTCTGTTGTCAGGCAGGTCCCCATCACTGAACCCATCTCCCAGACAGTCAAAGTCATCTAGAAAATCTTCACTGGTGTCGCCTCTGTCTAGAGAGGAGGCCGAGGATAAGGACATGTCCTCCAAAGTCTCACCTGCTGTCTGGCCAGAGATCTTAAGCACACTTTTTCCTCCTTTTCCTACTCCGGAGCTTCCATCACTGTCACTGGGAGAGACTGCTTTTGCAGTCTCACTAGTCCGCTCAATGTCTATTGCTATCCCTAATAGCCCTGCAAATTCAGGGGCAGTTGAAGGTCTGATATCCCCCTTGACCCTACATGGAAAAAGTGGCTTTTGCTGTTTGGTCTGCCCAGATCGAGCCGGCCTGTAGCCCAAAGACAAACCACTGCTTCCCAATGACTTGTTGAGCACACAGCTGGGGAGCAGAGGCTTTCTCAGAGGACTAGGAGTAGTGGGCGCTGGAGGGATTGAGAGAGAAGAGGCAGCTGAAGGTGGTCTACTGTACTGAAGTCCTCCACCTAGACCTCCTGAACCTCCAAGGCCGCTATTCAGGCCTCCGAGTCCTAAACCCACTCTTCCATTGCTCAGCTGAGGGGGTTTGAGAAAACTACTGCGAGGAGGCCGGAGCTGAGTGTTTGCCAGAGGCTTGGCTAGCTCTACAGCCCGGTTGAAGGAGAAGGACCGCGTCATAGGCTGGCTGGTGGGTGAGGGAATCTGCTTGAAGTGAGTGAAGCTGTTTGAGCGCACCATGTTGTCAAGTGCCAAGGTCGTCAGGCTGTCACTTGACTGGGACAGGCTGTCTTGAGAGCTGCTTCTGGGAGAGCTCAAGCCTGCTCTCGGCCGCACAAGTCGGGATTCTGACCCCGTTCGAACTGGACTGCTGAAGCCATTATGGGCTGCAATTTTAGGACCTCCGTTCAGTGGGCTTTGGTCTAGCTTGGTCACTACTTTGGGACTCATCTTCAAGGATTGCTTGGGGATGGCCTTGGGACTGGAGACAGCCACCGTCAAAATACCTGACCTCCGCATCTTGGGCGTCGATGGAGAGCCAATTCTCACCTCCTTTACCAGAGGGGGGAGCAGTGTCTGAGCCTTTTCTTCAACTCCATCCTCAGGGCTGGTGGGGCTCGAGGGGGTTGTCCCCTCGTCTCTCTTCCATTTGAAGGAAAATGAAGAGGCTCGGATTACGCCATTTGGCCGTGTTCCTGAGGGAGTGATCTTTCCATCCTGAGTGGGGGTGGTCGGGTGTGTAGAACCATTGGACAAGGGGCTGGCAGCACCAGTCGAGGAGCGTCCACCGAACTTAGGCAGTCTGGATACCATGGCGGACCTGATGTGTGATTTTTCTTCCATTAGATGCCAAAAAAGGCATGGAGGAACATGGAATCACACACAACTGGGGAAAGAATACACAAATAGATGATTAGATTTCAGTGTGCATGATTTGACTTAGAATGTACTGTAGTTGAAAATCCTACAAAGCAAACACAGTCAGACACACAACAGACACACAAACACACACCATATGCCCTGATAAATAGTAACAACACTAAGGGTAGTTTTGTCCACCTGCTGTCCCGGAGTGGTTGCCTGTCTGACTGTGAGGAGCATTAGGGATTAAACCGGCAGCTTACAGGATGACTTGAGGCTTTGTCACGGCAAGTCTGGCTTTATACTTTCACGTGGTCATGTGAGAGACATAAAGGCTAAATTAAATCTGACTTTACGCAATCCGTACACGGCCACAAATTTAAATCACACATGGAAAATCACATGTCTCTACTTTAAACCATGCATAAGTTATTCTTGACTCCATTCAAAGCAGGAAACAAAAATGTATGAACATAAATCCATAGCAGGAACCAGAGTATTGTGTTTATTATTATTGAATCTCCCAAAATGTATGGGTATATTAAGACAGTTAATAGAATAATGATAACTTTTTTTTTTGTTTCACTGATGACATGACCTGGAGTTGCCACAGGTTTTGGAGGATATGGCGCCGAGATGCCTGGCCAACAGAAGAATGGGCAAACGGATATACACCGCCTGGGGGACAAGGGGAAACCAGTGTTGGGAAGGTAGCCAGCACACTTTGAATAGTGAATGGAGGACGTACAGCATGTAAGCCAATGGAGGGAGAACACAGGGCCGTTTCCTGCTACTCGTTGTTAAATTCATCTGTTTCCAATCAGCCATGTGACAAGTGTACATGTGTTGGTGGTGCACCTGCGTGTTGCATCCATCTGGCTAGTGCTGGAAGAGAATAGGAAAGTTACTGAAATCCAGATGGCTGGAGCGGTTAACAGAAAGTGATCCATCTGCATGAGGGAGCAAAGCAGTGACTGAAAAACTGTCTGCAGACGGTTGCCCCAGATAGAAAATAAATGTATTTTTTAGAAATGCAGGCTGTTTTGTTGATCAACAGTAGATCAAGCACTCTCCCCCTTTTGAGTAGATCCTTTGACAAACTGGCACATAGACACAAAGGCAGATACTGGGGCAATAATCCACTCAACTTCTGAATTAGTGGGGGAGGGGCGTTGTGTGAAAATGTGGGTCTTGTGTTCTGGAGAAAAAAAACGTCCACATACCCTGCTGCCCCACATTCCCATGCAGACACACACGTCTACAATCAAAGAGACACACTCATAAGTGCTACAGAAGTCAGGCTATGCCACCATCCTAATCTGCTTCATAAACACACTTCGGCACAAAAACGAAAACACACAGTTGCACGCAAAATCAGGTCAGCAATTGCAAGTGGGGCAACCAAAGCCTCTTTGCCCCGGGGTGGGGGTGGTGGTTGTGTGTGTCTATGTGTGTTTAATGGGTAGCAATTCGATTAGAGGTCTCGTCTGTATGGCCCTCTTAAGTTTCATTCACATCCAGCGTGTCAGATCACCATAATAAACAGCAAATCCTCCACGCAGCTGTGGAAAATGTTTTCTCATCTGGGTCATCTCACTTGTCATCCAGACATTGGAGGATACCCGTTGGCAGTGCGGGAGTTTCCTTTGATGTTTGAAGTCATTGTAAAGAAATTCCCCATCCACAGTTGATATGCTTGTTATATTATAGTTTAGTTGTAATTCTTTGGGGGTTGAGTAAATAAGGAGGTAGAATAGTCTAATGTTAAGGTCTCACATTTGTATTTACAGCAACAACAACAGTGGCCTACTAATGTCACATTATCAAAGCCCTGCTATAAAAGGCAATTGTATGTGACCATGATTTACAAGAGTTTTGGTACCAATGACGTTCAACTTACAGTACCTTACATTTCTGATTATCTAAGGCATTTTATTACAAAATAATATATTTGCAAACTGTATAGGGGTGGGCGCATAGGCGGATTTTGCGGGGGGGCATAGTTTTCGACTTAGTAATGCTGTAATATATTTCAGCCACTAGGGGGAGTGGCTGAAATATATTACAGCATTACTACGTCGAAAACTGTTCCAATACAAATATTTCGTATATCAATATTTTAATAAGGTAGGACACTGGTTAATAATATTGTAGAGTGTTCAAGTAACCAAGGGATATAGTAGTTATCAAATAAGTATAAGATGTGCACAGTTATGTAATGCACTGTTGTTGGGGGGAGAGACCGCCCCTTCCATATGAGTGTGTGTGTACGGCGGGCATGAGGCGTGCATGACGGGACGAGTTGTGTTCGTATGTGGAAAAGTCATACTCAGTGCGGTGAGCGCTGGCTTTATTGCTACTGTATCCGTAGCATCCCACGCGATAGTTATGACTGTGTACTGACGTCAGTAAAAAAGGTTTTTACCCCCCCCCCCCCCCAAGCGCAAATGTCAAACTCCGCCTATGGGTGGGCGATATGATATATATCGTCGAGACGATATTAGGTCTCCACGATATGCCTTTTCAGAGATATCATATCATGATAGTGCACCAGGGTAGGATTTTCACGGCGGCCATGACGGCCGGTCTGGCCGTGAAGCCCCGAAAATAATTGTACGTCCTACGGCCACCATGGCCTGTGTGCCCCTGATACTGTTAAAATCTCGAAGTTGCTTTAAAAGCGTCAGAACAGTGCTTTCTGAACTGCGTTATGCTGCGTTCACAACGGACGCATATAGAATATTCTCACCCTAACCGCTGGAGCTGTCAGCTGTGTTTACTCCTGTCATTCAAACAGGACGCGCTGGAGAGGGGGCGGGGCTTATATCCATGTAAATACTGTGGTGGAAACCAACTACGACACAATTAACCTATTTTACCGTGATTTAATTGTAATACACGTTTCAAAATGATGCCGAAGTAACTAAATACTGATAACGGTTAGTAAAAACCAAGCTGTCTAGTCAGGATTCAGACAGTATTGCACTTCATTTATTGTCTTGGTTGATTCTGTTGGCTTATATTTTTATTTTATCAATAAGGTATTTATATTGTTTCTCTCTTTTGAAACAGATGTTCAGTTATGTTAAAGTCTTTGATTGCACTTCAAGTCTAAAGTTTACATTTTAATTGTTTGGCACTGACTTTTCCTCATTGATGTTTTATGTTTTACTTAGTTATGTTTTACTCTCATTTTCATGTTTATTGATGTTACATCACTGCTAGTGCTACCTAAAACAGAAAGTGAATTGTTATACTGAGAAAATGTGCCTTGAATATTTTATTTTATTTAGCAAGAGAGTGCACTTGGTGAAGAAACCAGTGTTAACGTTTGTTGTGTAGGGTGTAGTAGGCCTACCTACTTGAACACTGAGGAAACCATATCAAAATTCCTGTTGAATTGTTCATTCAGGGATTCATTGCAGAATTAAAACCAGCTTGAAATGGTATTTTGGTCTGTTACTCCTTTTTATTTTAGTTTGTGTTACCTTATAGGTGGTTGTACTGTTAAGTAACTTGAAAAATAACCATAATAACCGACATGAAAAAATATCGTGATAAATATCGTCTATCGTGATACTGCTTGAAAAATATCGTGATATTATATTTTTCAATATCGCCCACCCCTGAAACTGTATAGCCTAACTGGATGGTCCTCACTTACTATGCGTAGGATGCAGCATTGGTTTTTATTAATGTATAAAGCCATTTTAGGTAAGCTTCCACTCTACATATGTGCCAGATTTGCTCGTTTGTGACTCTTACAACCTCAGATCCAGTGCCTGGATACGGTTCCAGGTTCCTGCTGTGCAGACTGAGGCTGGAAAAAGGAGTCTTTTTTATTATGGTCCTTGGTCTTGGAATGACCTTCAATCAAACCTAAAACTGAGGGCACTTGTCTCAATACCATGTTTTAAGTTGAAGTTGTCTAAAGTCCTTACCACCAGCTGCTCTTGCAGTCATAAGTAGTGCACCTTTCTTACTGTCCTAATGTGCACAATGTAGTGACTGCTTTTTCATCTTTTGTTTTCTTAGTTATGTTCTCTGTATTTTATGTGTTATGTGTAACTTTGATGCCTTCTTGGCCAGGTTAGCATTGAAAATGAGATTTTATCTCAATGCTTTTATCTGGTTAGATAACATTTTTTAACAAAATAACTATCCCGATATATCTATTTGAGCGAATAATTGTTAATAACATAAACACAATTACAAGCTTGTTTTGCTTTAATAATGACTTTTTCACAAATTAATTATATGAATCAACTATCTTCAAAATAAAAATATAATCCCAAAGTATCGGCTCAAATTTCAGCAAATGTCTGCTTCTGTTTCCCAGTGCTATGGACGAATATGATTGATACCCAGCCCTTTTCTCCAATACTAGTACAAGGACACAGGTCAGCTCATGAGGAGCATCAATAAAAAAACAACATCCAAACCGCCTGACAGACATTCTAAGGTAGGGCAGTAAACCTTGCCATCTGTCATGCGCTTATGTGATGGCCTGCCCCTCCCCCCAGAGTATAGTACTGTAAATAAATATCCCAGAGTTTCACTAACATCCAAGTATCAAGGCCAACAATATGCCTCTTGTGGGTCTGCACTGCATCTGAAACAAAACCTGAAACCTTGACAGTGTGAAGGGATGAATAATGTAAAGGAAAGCCACAGAGACACAGTCTAACTAACTAAACATCATACTAAGAGCAACGTTTGCACACTGGAATTATAAACCTCCAACAAGCTTCAATGCTGTTGATTGAATTTGAACCTGGTTTAACACTGAGGTCTACAGAGATTGTTTCAATAATGTAGTTTATCTTTGTATTTTAGGTTTGTTTACTGAGGGTTGTAGAACAGCAAGAAACTGTTTTATCTTGATGTCTAAAAATTGCTGCTTTATAGATTTTGTCTGAGTACGGAATAGATCAACAGATTAGATTAAAATCCAATATCACCTAGTGCATGGAACGATGTCATCATGATTTAACTTCCAATCCAGAGAATAATAAAATAGGGTATGTAACGAAAGACTGCAAGCAGCAGAGGGAGTGGAAGGGATTACAAAGAGAAAAGGGAATGGACAGCGATAGACAGATGCTGTTAGATAAAGTAAGAATGGGAGAGGCAGTGAGACAAGACTTCAGGCAGGCTTTTCCCACAGAGAGATCTTTTGCTAGACCTGCAACTCGGCATCTCAGCAGTGATCCCTATATGTGAAAAAAGCAAAAAAGTGAGATGACATTTTCTTACTCTCTGTCGTACAGGGAATGGGAGTTTTCTGTCTGTCTGCCAGTGAGGCTGTTTGGCCTTACTTTATTTCTGTCTCAGAGGACAGCCAGACAGAAAGCACCTGGCAGAGATCTGGGAAGGCTGAAAAATCCGAAGTGCAAGAATAAGGTTGTTCATTACTCCTCTAGCAAAGCTTTCACTTTTGAACTGCTCACCCACTACAGAGATTCATTCTTCAGGAGTAACAGGATGGATGCAGATAGGAGGCGACAGGCCGGGGGCTATGATCTATTGGGTCAGTGGGGCTACACATGAATGGAGGTGCTCTACTACACACGATGCTGCAGTGTATCCCCATGTCACAATGCTCATGGTTCCCCATCATTAAAAAGTCTCTGAGCACCATCTCTCAAAAATAGAATGTCAGGATACATCATTCCTCTCGTATTACATTGATCAGGGGAGAATTGCATTCAGACTGTGGAAACCCCAGAAAGGGATATGGAATAAGTATGAAGTTAGTATATAGAAAGAAAATGCTCTTTTTTAGTAGTTTCAAAAGAAAACAGTGAACAATATATAAAAAAATGCAAATGTAACTTCACATGGTAACACCCTTACTAGTAGTATTGTCAGCTGTTATTTACGTATTAAGAGTCTGTTGTATTGCCTTACTTTCCAAAGCAGGGCATCACTTCTTTAATGCAGACCCTTGCTTTCATAGCAGCAATATCTTCGTATTCCATTAAGTGCAGTAATAAAAACAACTTTGAGAAAATTTATCAAAATAATTATTGTTTGCTATTGTTGTACAAATAGTTTATTTGGAAAAAACAGTTAGATTTGAAAACAATGTTTAGGAGAAGAGTTGAGCAACCTAATACAATTTCCTGGGGGAACCCTGAAAGTAAAAGTAAAATGTCTTTAACACCTTCCTGCTAAAACATAATGTAATTGGTGTGTAAAGGTTTACAATCCTAGACATTAGTGGCCCTTCTTTGTCTGACATAAAACTGAAAGAAATGTTATGTCTTTTGGAAGTGGATTTATTTCAAGCTAAGCTGTAAAGTAGTTGATTGAACCAGGTTTCTTTTTGGACGGTGTTATTTTTGAACAAACATGCCCTTAGAGATATGAAAGGTTCTATAATCACATACAAATCTACACAGACTTCAACTTTTTTCTCTGTGGTAGCTTTTCTGTTGCTACTATTTCCTGTGTAGCCTAAATGGTAACGTGCACTTACATTTTTTGAATAGCTTCCTTAGCACAAGAGCTGTATATGTAACTACTAAAAATGTAGCTTCAGAAACACTTAACAGCTTTCTCTTGGGTATATCTGAGCAATTCAAGTCAACACAGACTGTAGCTTCACAATGAAGAGAACTGAAGAAAGGGAGAGACAGAATATTAAGCATGAACAGGGAGGATGGATGGAGTGAGGAAGCAAAAAATGAAGACTCTTATTGGTTATTGGTTTGATGTGGAGGGCAGCTGCAGCTTGCAATTTACCTCCATCTTTCTTTCTACTGTCTGTCGATGTTGGCGAATCTGTCTTTTATAGCGCCAAACCAATCGTTTAATAGATCAAAAGCTATATAACCCTTGTCTGAAGAGCCTATATATCCTCCAGCTGGCTCCACTCTGAGACAAGATTTTAAGGGGCTACTCCAGACACATACACACAGATACACACACACACATAACCACAATCAGTCAGCCCAGTTTTAAAACATATCTGATATGTTGGATGAATGATATCTAATTGCATAGTCTGTGATGAAAGAATGCATAGAGGTATAATAATTATACTCTGACAATCAACAGCAGCCCAAATGACTTTTTCACCTCCTACTGACACTCAAAGTCCAGCTTCATTTACATATATTGAGTGCAGTGTCCCAGTGGAGTAATAACTAGGCCAGTCATCTGGACCGAGCAGTAGTGGGCCAAAGCTTTGTCCCACAAGAGATTAACAGAGTGCCATTAGAGCAGGCTAATAGAATGAGACAGGGATGAAAGTAACACTGACGCTAGGCTAATGTGTATTGAGTGAAAGCAATACTAGGCTGAGCTGCACTGATGCTACTTGATGCAAATCCAATGAGACAGCAGAGGGTTTGGTAATGCTGTATACTAACTGGGGTAGATCGAATGACAGAGACCAACAGAGGAAAGAAGTGGGGAAAGTTAAGGTGTGGCAACCGGCTACATTCACAACTACAGTGTATGTTTGAGTATACTGAACAAGATACCAGAAGAACATACATATACAATATCACATTTTTTGCTCATTATGTACCACAGAAAAGTAAAATAGAAAACTTTACCTTAACTGAGTGAGTTTATGTTCCAATTATTTTAATCCAAGAGTGAATCATTAAAACAAGAGCTACACCCTGCCAAGTCACTGCACTTTGTTTCCTCCATCATCTAATCTAAAAGTAAGGCAGCGCCCAGACGAGAGAAGAGCGCAGGAACAGGAAGACGCTCTTCAGAGGTTGGTCTGTCTGCCGCCTGGCTCTCTCCTTGCATGTGAGCCTGTCTGTGTGTGCGTGTGCGTGTGTGTGTGTGTGTGTGTGTGTGTGTGTGTGTGTGTGTGTGTGTGTGTGTGTGTGTGTGTGTGTGTGTGTGTGTGTGTGGTGTGTGTGTGTGTGTGTGGAGAACAGAGCCTTTATGGCTGTGTTTAATATTTGATAGGGCATCTTTCAGGAGCCCCACCCAGTGTGCTGCAGGAGTACAGAAGTGGTGAGGACAAATTATGTTTTGGGGAAATACACTAAAAGACGAAAAGAAAAAAATGACAAAGAATTGTTGTCAGTACAAATGACGTAAACTTCAGCAGGAAACAGTCTGATCAATTATCCACAATATATTACAAAGTCCAAAGACTAAAGTCACATAATCCCACCAATAAAGAAATGTTACTGACAAGCTAGAGTAGTAATTGTCAGTTTGCATGCTGCTGCCCTTTAATGTCATTGAATCTCCAGAGGGGATAATAAAAGGGAAACAGATCCCGCCTAGCAGCACTCAGCTACACATTAAGTCACTCCAGTAAAAAGGCATTTGTTGTGGTTCTCGTAAAGATTCAGTAGGAGTTCAATTTCCCATACTCATGTCATGGTTGACAGCATACTGGTCCCCCTCAGTCCACCATTTTCAGCTAAGTGCTAGCTGTACAACCATATTGCTAGCTCCTCAATATCTACTCTTTGTAAGTATCACATGCCGTGGTAAATCACAACAGAGTCCGATTCAACCCACATCAGCAGCAAAGCAATCAAATAAAAGGCTTAAACACAGGGTAGCAAATGACTTCTTTTGCATTTAAATTACTTCCTGGTATACTTCTTTTAACAAGCCTCAAAGTCAGCCTTTTAAACATTTACAGCCTTAAATTGGTGTGGATTTTGAGAGCTTATTCTAGACGGAAAACTGTTATGACATCTGAATGTTGGAAACTTTTTTCCAGGTGGTCCATTAATTCAGAAAAAACGAAACAGTCACAAAGATTGTCTTCACCAAGTCAAACTGACAAGTCATGACACGGACCACCCTCCAAAAGTCCTCATCATCCACCCTGACTCATACATAAGAATAACCCTGCTGCTGCCTTCTTTGTGAGGTGTGATTCTGAGAAGCAGTAGTGCTGGCAGGACTTGTTATAATCTAATTATCTTCACTGTTAGAGGTGCCCAGATGTCCACACACACCCATCACTGGAATCACATTTCTCCTTAAACCACTCCTCTCCCTGCTTTATCGTTCAGTTTTAAGTGTATGTGCGCGTCATGAAGAGACAGACAGACATCTGTTGCCTCTCCCATGTATGACCTTCGTTTGAACCACATGGGAGAAGACTGCAGTGCATTTGACAGCTCAATTTAATTCTCACCTTCTGATTGGCCGTATGGGATAAAAAGGCTGATATCTGTTGCCTGGCAGTAGCGCAGGTGTCAGTCACTGTCGGCCAGGTCATTAGAGTCGTTTATGCAGATGGGAGCTGGAGGCGGTGACAAAGTCACAGTTTGTCGTAAAACTGTTGAAATGTAAGACTATGAAAAATACGCAACTAGAAAGACTACAAATCCCAGAATCCGGTCCATCCTCTTACGGAACCAACTAACTCCCCTTGTGTGTATGTACAGCTCTCAACGTGCCCAGACTTGTAGTGATTTTCACCTCTTTTAATACTTATCGCCTCATTCTGAAAGAAAGAAGTGAAATGTGCCAACTCGACGGCCGTCTTGGTGTGTGGTGCGAGAAGGGAGATGTAGTTCATTGAGCGGTTTCACACAAAAAAAGTTTTACTTTTACATTTGAATTGTTTTGACTTGCAAAATCATCTTTTAAATTGACAAACATCATATGTGTAATTTGTGGCACAATTCAAACGGGATCGAAAGATAATCTTTCTCTCGCCATTGACTTCAATAAATGCTTTTTCCGAAATAAGGTCCCATGGAGATCCCCTGGAAAGAGAGGGACTTCGCCACTCTATCGGTTCACATTGGGAAAAGTACTAAAAACATCTCTTTCACATCACCGGGTATCATTAAATTGTATTGAGTGTAAATATGAAAATGTTGCTTACTCTGGCTCCACTTGTAAAAACCATCAAACGATTAAAGGTCCAAGGTCATTTGGATGGCTTCCATAAACCCAGAGTTGTCCCATTGTAAACCATTTGTAGTCTTCTATGAAGCAAAATTGGTCAACATTAATTGGTTTCCACTTCCCAAATGTGAAAATATACTTGTTGCTTTAAATGGATTAATACAATTTAGAAAGCTGTGTGAAATTGTATAAAAACAGTCATTCAAGCTATACTATGCTATCAGCAGCACACAGGAAGTACATCATGCTGTTGATAAAGCATATTTTATGACGTTATCAAGATAGACTTGTAGTTGTTTTCTCTGTGTGATGTCGGACATGATATGAATTGAGTCTGATGTAAAGCTTTGATGAAAACCTGAACTCTAAATGAACCTTTATTATATAATAATATACATATTATACAATACAGGCAGATGCAGAGGATTAGGCATCGATACAACAGCCATTTTAGTGAGATGAATCATAAGCGTGTTTTCTCACATGATTCATGAACAGAACGACAAATAAAAACATGTATATAGCAACTAGGACTCAGGGTGAAATTAATGAAAACCGCCTGCCTTCCCCCAAGCTTTTATGATACCATTACAATGACATCCCTTTCTCTACTGTATCAACCACTTTTCTTTATGCTGACATGTGAGTTCAGCTGAAACATCCCCAGCTTATCTGAACAATGTGCTGTTTATTGGTCATTAGATGTAACCTTTGCCAACTCTGACTCATTCCTTATCGGCAAAAGCTACAATGCAAAACATAAGCCTGTCATGAGCAGTGAGAGATTTAGCTTTCAGAGAATAGATCTTAAGTGAACCTGTTAAACCCGATTGCCCCCGCCGGCAGGGGCAAACACAACAATATTCACGAAACTGTGTCTCAGGGCTTCTTAACATTTAACAACCTATTAATGTGTCATACCCACTTAACGGGAAGAAATTCAGCTAACTGACGATATGAACAATTTGTACCTAAACAAAACACAAGTCTAACGCTAAGCCTCTGAATCAGCACTAAGCGAAATGGTGCTAACGCACTTAGCACATAACTCACCGTAGCAATATTTTATACTTCATGCGAACAAACTAGATATCATATGAAAGCTGAGATTCCACAGATTCCAATGGTATAAGTATCATCACGGCAGAGAAAAACAGAAAAGACAACACACAACTTCACTTTACGGGGCCATTCCTAAAGCGTTTAGTCTACTATCCCATCATTCAAAGGTGGTTTTCACTATAAGTAATGGTTTTTCTTTGGACGGAAACTATCATTTACACTTTTTTTTACTATGTTCAATCTGAATTTACTTTAAAATAAAAACATCTATATTGATTCTGACTTTTCTACATCCGACTCACAGGTGTATCAATGCTTTGAGAAAAAACATTACTCATTTACCCCTTTTAGAAGTGAAGCTATAGTCATTTGTTCTGGGCATATCATTTTCGAGCCTGAAACCTGAAAAACAGGCTCAGGGCTTAACAGGTTAAGGCCCTCAAGCCTTTAATAGATCCTGTGCCTGATGGATTTGTGCTCTTTGAATGGACATTACACTCCTGCTTCCTCTCTGCCCAACTTCCCTCTTTTCTTTCCACTGTCTATCAGGCTGTCTTTCTTAACAAAGACTTCCCCTAATCTCTATTATTCTCCTACTGTACGTGTGTGTACAGTAACAAGCAAACATGTGAGGCTAGGGAGAACAAAGCCTCCTTACATCAAATAAGACCACGGTTGAGGTTTTCCCGGCCTTTGTGTCCTATTTTTCACAGGGTTTAGAGCTATTAGGTCAACGGATGAAACTAGACGGGAAGCTGTCCAAAAGAGAGTCCGATACAAAAGAGTAACCTTTCTATGCACCTCAGGAGCTTTCTGTGATAAACTCACTAAATACTCATTGGAGGTGGTTGTGGCTAGAGATACCTCTGCTGTGTTAACTGCTTTGAGCACAGACAGTCACCATCATTTCTTTATATGGTGATGTTGAGGGCTGCAGATTAGTCTACCATGCAAATAAAGCATTTGAATATCAACATAATGACTGGGCAGGTAATCCCATAGACATTTGAGACGTTATCTCTGCATTTGAACAGGACATGAGTAATGGGCAAAATGTCCCTACAGTCTCACAACAGCTGAAACGATATATTCCGAGCTTAAACTCACGACAAAATGAATGTTAATTAAGGTGCAATGGCGGTTTAAGAGTTAGAATGATATAGTATTACTGAGTGAACAAAGGGCAATATGCCAAATGAAACAGGTACAGTAGTATGAACATGAAAACAAACAATAGTGTCTAAGAAGAAACGTGTATGTTGAACAGATGGTCGCAGATTGCAGCAAGTCATATACTGTGATTGAGAGTGACTCAGCAGTGTTCTTGTAGATAAGCTGAAAGCAAACGTTTAACCTCAAAACACAGCTCACAAACTCCAGCACATTGGTTGTACAACGCCTGATCCAAAGGACACAAAGATTCTATAATACCACATGATTCAAAGCCTTGAAGGATTATTGAATGCGATATAAAGGTTTTAAGGAGAGGGATCATGCGACTATGTGTAATGCAAGCTCAAATTGGTCACATTACTAGAAGCTAATGGAAAAGCTGGATGAAGCACGCCAAACATACTTTGTCTATCTGTGAAATGAATTGATATGAGCAAAAATAGCAGGCACGTGTTGAGGCACAAAACAAATATGCAATGATACTGTGCCTTATACAGCATTCAATTCATAATACGAAGTAATGCTAATACGATAATAATGACACTGAATGAACTTGCGAGCGCTGGTTTTAGCTGCTTAGTGTAACTACAATTTATCATTTTGCGTCATACATTTATACTAACAGTCAAAGTCCTGCACATCCACACAGGTTTTGACTGAAGGTTCATTAGGCCTCTCTTAAGGCTGATATTGGACGGAGACGTTATGCGCAATGTCAATCATGCACAGTGTGTGTACACGCCCACACACAGCTGGGACATCGGTCTAATCAGGTAAAGTGAAAACACCTGTGTAAGTGTACCATAGGTTTATAAGAGATTGAGATTATAGACATTCATTTTAATAAAAAGTATTCACTTTTGATGTTGTTGGTTCGAGATTTCTGGTATTTCAGCAGCAGCTCATTACATTGCATTGCATTTGAGCCTAGACAACAAATGTCATCATCAAGCCAATAATAACACACATCTGCTGCTACCATTGTGTTCATAATGACACCTGTGCAAACACAGGAGCAAAAGAATAGAGGGATTATTTGTACACAATGAAAAACAACCCATCCAATATAACAGTGCTGCTTTCTGTACAGAAACCATTGTATACAACCTATCATTTGATATCATAGAAAATGTGAATTGCGCAACTTGCACAGCGCAAATTGTTGTTGTACGTTTAGGTCAGCGTTCTTAATGGCTATCTTTGAAAGTACTTCACTTAAGGGTGGATCACTTAACACATGGACATTGTAAAGTGAACTCTAAATACGGTGACATGCAAAGAGTACTACAAGGGTATTTCCTGATCTTTAAAGAGCATTTTGCTCAAAGCTCCTGTTCATTTTCGACATGGCAATGCATCTGACATTCTGTTTCTACACTCTGCAACACACCGAGCTATTCAAAGCACTTAAACATCTGTGGTCGTACCGAGGTAACTGATAAGCGTGGCTAAGTATAGCTCTAATGATAGACCACATACAGAGAGAGAAGAGAGCAAGGAGGATCAGAGAAAAGTCAAAGTCAAATCAAGTGGCTATAGTATAACAACACAACACAGACATGCAAACACAAACAACTATAAACACAGTTCATTATTCTAAGTGACAAAATAATCCCTGGACCTCTTCAATTATTAGCCATTAGATTAGATTTTGAGCGATAGAAAATAGGGGAGAGCGTGTGCAAAGAGTCCGAAAAAATAGGAGCTAAGAGATGCCATGTCAGTTTTGTCAGAATAAATAAGATACAACAATTACAGTGGAAAGGGTGCATTATCTGATGCTTTCAAGGGCTGTTTAGCACTCACCAAGCTCTTAGCGGACTCTCTCAGGCTGTGTTTCCTGGCATAATGACTCAACACTTCTCCTTGCTGCAAGTAGTCGCTTTTAGCATCACGCAAGCACATTTTACCATCTTATCTATGGGCCTCAAGGTTGCCCTTAAGAGAGCTTTGGAATGACTGCTATGCTAAGGGTGATGTGTATAATGTGTATCTTCATGCATAGCTAGACGCTGATGGTAAGGGCATACATTAAGACAGGCAGACACAGTCTGGGAAAACCCTCACATATTGAACTGCAATATGGGGGGTCTTAAGGAGGCAGGCACATGGTGGAGACATTCAGCTGTTGTTGGGGGAATCAAGTTGTAAACACACCCTCAGCCAAGGTGGCGCTCCAGGACCTATGCCAACAGGTGCCTGAGGAACACACACATGGATTTGCGTGTGTGAGTGAGTGTGTGTAAATGTGACCACACCCAAACACTGGAGCACCAGAAGAGTGTCCATCTCACTTACACTAAGGGCAATAAGTCATGCCTTATCTTAATGTGTGCTGGCACATTGATGCCATGGCACTTTTCACTGTCTGGGCTGTTATAGACCACAGCCTTAAATGGTCCACACACATAGTTATGAGACTTGACCGACAGCAACTTCAGTTCTGGTTTAAAAATATGAATAAGTGAGGCTGCACTGCATGGTATAGAAAACCCTGGTTCATTTTGAACTCATGTCTGAGGGGAGCATGAAGGCCCATGAGTCATCTTAAGTTACCCTTAAATGCTCACAAGTGCATGAGGAATACACATGTCAGTGGTGTGTCTCAAACTAGATAGAGTTACACTTAACTACTGAGCCATATAGAGAGACTTGTCAAGAGGAAATACTACAATATTAAATCACTGTCTGAGTGCAACTTCTGTTATCATTTGTTATATAATAGTTGCTTTTTATATGCTTATTACATAAATGGCCTGGTCATCCTCATTCATGGTACAGTAACTCTTTCAAGGGCATAATGTTGTGAGGTTAGAAACATGGCCTATTCTGCTTCACTGGGCATCAACATGAGGATTAATAACTACTGCATCAAAGCCTTTTTACGAGTTATTGTTAATTTAAATGTATATAGCAACTATGTATGCCCATACTCAAACAGAGAAATAAGGAGATTTATGAATAGGCAGCAAATATTGCCAACTCGATTAGGTTAACTGTTTTCCCATCATTCATTTCACAATCATAACACCACTTATGTAACCGAAAAGCAACTTACCTTATGCTGTGAAACTCATGTTTACAACCTCAATTACGGGTCAGCAAACACTCCATCTTGTTCGTCTTAGCTTGTAAATAACATGTTGTAAAGTAAAGCAGAGGCCGTTAGTCTTTCACTTTCCGTTTAAAACAGTTAGGATTCATTTATGTGATGGCTAGCCCATAGCCACTACACAAGTTCAATGAAAAGCTTCTTGACATGTCAAGTCTGTTTTCGAGTCCTGTACATTTAGCTTAGTGGATAATAAACAAATGTGAATCCTCATATTTCCATGAAGTAATTCCACTTTAAGGTTAAAATAGCCTGAAGCTACTCTATCTTTTAGCCGCTAGTTTAACTGTCACGATGACAACACGGATAAACTAATGACACCGAGCGTTACCGACTGAAAAAGACGGGAGGACGTCAACATTAATCCGGGCTGTAAAATCCTCATAGAAAACAGCTCCTAAGTATGAGAATAAACTAACCACAGCAGACTACCTCACGGTGCTAACTGACTTCCCAGAGCAGTTTATCTTTCTGACTGACACCGTCCTCTCGCTCCCAGCTGGGCGGAGCGTTAATGTCACCTGGGTCTCAAAGGGTGACATCGCAGGCTAGCCTCAAAGTGCTCATTTGCTTACATTTGGACATTGTTTTCGATGTTCCTGCATGTTAACCGTTAGTTTAATAAATTGTTGTTGTTGTTTGTTTGTTTTGGGTGTCTAAAAGTGTCAAATGGCTGCGTTCACCGTAAACAGCATAGCTTGTAAACTACAGGCTTCCCGCTACCGATGACATGACGTCGGTTTATAATGAGACGTAAACCCTAATGTATACAATGACGTAGGCGCGTACACACAACACAACACAACTGCGCACACACAAAGTATCATTAAGAAATGACTTAAGTATTTGTTTTTGTCCTATACTTAGTATTATTCTCATTCATTTTTATTTAATTGATTTATGTGTATTTATATGTTGCATCGTTATTAATTGGTGAAGATTTGGGGGGCTGGAAAAAAACATTTGAGGGGCATTCATTCATTCATTTTCGTTTCCGTACACCTAATGTTCCTTCCAATTACATATTGTACAGTTGCAGTTGTATACTGAGATCTTTTACTAATAAGAAGAAAATGCAGGACCACAGAGGAGAATTTAAATTCAGTATAAAATTAGCATCCAAATATACTAGTAATTAAAATAAATATGAGATTCAAAGAGAGTTAAACTAACACAAATCTGCTAGAAAAGACATAATAATGCATTCTTAAGAGTTTTTTATTATAAAAACATTAGTGAGTGTCACAACATTGGTTGTTTAAGATGTATACAAAGCTTCATTTTTAGCATATATTAGAATATTATAGATATGATTGCCCAAATGCATGGTAAACGACCAAATGCATCGTGGTATTGGTGTAATTTGAGTGTCATATGATCTAACATTCCTGTATAATCTGAATACATGTGGCAATGGATCACCGCACAAGGCCCCCTTCATGAGCTTTGAGCCCCTGTTGACCCCCTTAACTAAGATGCACTAAATCACAACAAACAGAACACTCACAAAAATACTGCTTTACCAACAGCTACTAACTTTTTAATGATGTTTGTTTAATTTGTTTTTTCTGTTTTACTAATTCATGTTTTTTGCTTTGTGTTTTCTTCTCAATTTAATATTCAAGTGAGGAACAGGGAAAACGTTTGAAGAATGGTTCCCTTCATTATTTAAAGAGGTAAATTAATCCAAATAAGTGTTGACTAAATGATGGTCTTCCTTCAAGGAGAACATATCCAAAGACAGATAAGATGTTGTGATTTTAGCTGCAGTCGACCCACAAAATGTTTCCCATGTCAGTGAAACTGTTATTCATCATTATAACCACCAGAGAGCAGCCTTTTACCTTGTATTGCCCCTGACAGTTCATTTAATCACATTCATTCGTTTCTACCTTTGGGTAAGTGCTTGTGTGTGTCTGAAATACAAAGTGACTATTCATTTGAGAAAGACAGCGAGATAAGAAGAAATGTAACCATATAATTACTCTGGCTTGTTCATCTTTTCTTCTTCAAGTGCCAACTTCGATGAAAACCACACCACAAAAAAACTCCTGTTCTTATTTCCATATCTCAGCACCAACAGCACAATCTCTTCAAGTGAGTTCACATACCTGTGCAGTAGCTGCAACAAGGAGATAATGTGAAGGGAAGAAAGTCAGACAGACAGGGAGATGCAGAGAGGAGGGGTTAGATAAGGCAAGGATGTAAAAATAGATGGATCAAATGAAAGTAAAAAGTAAGACTGCTGAGGAAGGCTGCCCAGAAGACGGTGAGACGGAGAGACTAAGGTATATCATGCAACAAGGGAAAGAAGGAGAACACCAACAGGGAATAACAAAAAAGGAGTGACAGAGGCCCAGGTAAGAGGGGTTTTTTATTCAAGCAGGCAGGGGGATAGAGAATGACTTGATAGACTATAATAACTTCCTCTGCTGAAATCCTGAATGTCCTCTCAGTGTAATCCAACCCTCTGTTTCCTCTGAGATGGAAAATTATTGTTTTTCTTGGGACTCAATGAGCTGCATTGTTTCCCGCTCTATTATCCGAATGACTGGAAATAGAATAATAGTCATGTAAATGACACCACAGACATAAACGTATCTATTAATGGTACATTATCTTGGTAAATTGATAGTCCTTGAGCAATATTTATTCATCAGCATTAACTCAAGTGTAATTGATATCGATAAATGTAAAATTAGAGTGGGGTTGTTGCCGGAAAATGAAACAAATATGTTATTCAATCTCACACATTGTACATACATTGCAACCACAGCCATGTTTGCACGATCTGTTTGAATAAATCCAATATTTTCCTTCTGCAGGAACATTTTAATCTCTTCTTGCAGCCGATTTGATGTTACAGCCATGAACCTGAGCTTGCCCTTTCTTTTGTTTCTTTTCCTGAGTCTACACACTTGTACAACCACGGTGAGTCTGCATTTGTCTTGGGTAATGTCTAAATGTTCTTAAATTGTATTAAAAACTACCACCTAGTTTGGCACAAAGAATACCCTCAAATTTTTTCATGAATATAGGGCTACAAATATGGTAAAGTATCTCATGGGTGTGTTTGTGTTTCTTCATTTGTTCTTTTCCAGTCATCATGATTGCTTTATAATAGGTGTTTACACAGTAGCTCATAAACGCATTGACCCAGTCCATTTCTGGTCAGCATTGCACCTGTTTCCCATCTGGGAGAACTTTAGCGGCAGATGTGGACCTGGCTCTGACTACAAAGTTCCTGGAAATATAAATTTGGAATAAGGTCGTATGGAAGGAGATGGATGTGATAAAACGCATACCAATTTCATCTTGGTTTAATTTAACAGTTTTATTTAACTATCTTTTACATAACTCTGACAGATTTTCTTATATTTGAGATGAATCCAGCAACTGTGATTTTTAGCACAGATGAAAACATAGACGATTAAATAGTGGGGACAAATTACTTTAGGCTCATGATCCACATTTTAAGACAATAGGTCTTCAATGACTGACAAGTGAATACCTGAGTTTAGTGCATGCCTGTAGAATGTGATGAAAAGAAAAGCATATGATCCTTTCATCCATTCAGCTCTGCTCGGAACACGATAGGGAATAATCGTGTGTGTGTGTGTGGTGTGTGTGTGTGTGTGTGTGTGTGTGTGTGTGTGTGAGTGTGTGTGTGTGTGTGTGTGTGGTGTGTGTGTGTGTGTGTGTGTGTGTGTGTGTGTGTGTGTGTGTGTTGTGTGTGTGTGTGTGTGTGTGTGTGTGTGTGTGTGTGTGTGTGGTGTGTGTGTGTGTGTGTCAGGGAGGCAGAGCCCAGCGCAAACAGAGACAAGCCGAGGAGAGCCTGAGACCGTATATTGGCAGAGTGGAGCCAGGTAAGACTTACAGTCGAGGAATGTGGCTTTATGCCAGTAAGATAAATAGTATAGACACAGTAAGGTATTTTTTATTTAATAGGACATGAAAGGCAACAATGCCTGGCTCATCACAGTTTGGGGTTAAGGAGACCATAATGTTGGCTTGAAGTAAAAATTCATACTAAATGCATCGATCATTGTTGCGTTGTCATTCAATTTGAAAACATTTTGGGTAACATTTTGCATTTAAGGCTAAGAATGTATTGTATAATGATTGAAAACAAGGTGGTTGTCCCATCATTCATTTTCCTGTCATTTTAATTTGCTTTACTTTTCTTCTTTTAACTAACTTTGCTTTTTTTATCCACCACTCTTGTGAAATGTCACCATTTTAAATAGATGCTTGCTAGACATTTTATATGATGCTTTTATCCAAAAGGAGCTACATGATGAATAAGTGGTTATCAACACTGGCCTGTAATCAGGCAGAGAAAACACAAATGTAAAACTAGGAAACAGAAAACAGTGTTATGAAGAAATGTATCTTCCTGTTTCAGAAAAGCTTTGTGAGCTGTTGAAATGCCACAGTCCAGCGGGATCTTGGTGCCAGGTAGTTCAGGAAAATGGAGTTCGTGTCCCCAAGTGTGTCTGTCCTCAGTCCTGTCCACGGTAAAAACACTTCGTGGCATTTAAACCAAGTAAACGTCTACTTATTTTGCAAGTATTTTGACAATTGTCTGTATTTGACCAGCAAATGTAGTGAAAAGAATCATCCATGCAAAATTGCTTATTAACTGTGTAGGATATTGTTAATTATAATCATATCAAATCAGTAAAATGTAGGGATACAATTCCAGCAGTTTATTTTATCTGGCTGTGCACCTTACATAAAGTTTTGCATTGGGGCACTGGCTCATGTGATCAGGCAGAGGGCACCAGTGTGCAGTGTGCTGGGAAAGACCTATGGGAATGAGTGTTTGCTGCATAAAGAAGCCTGCAGAAAGAGGCGCCGCACAGCACTGGCTCACACAGGACCCTGTCTGGGTAATAAACACACACAGCATTAAATATTACACACAATTTCCACTGTGTACTGCAACATGCCAAAGGAGCTCTGTTATCTGTCTTGATCAGTCTCCAGGGCTAAATGCACTGAGGAGGAGTTAGGCCAGTTTCCATATCGTCTCCTGGACTGGTTTCTGCTCCTGAGTCGTATGGGGCAGTCCTACGACCCCGCTGTCCCGTCCCAGAGCTGCCTGAGCCACACCCAGAGGACACTACTAGCACAGGTAGCTGAGAGTTCATGCTTCAAGTGGCAATACACTACAATGACCATCTTTTGGGGAATTGTTTTAATAGCTTTCATGTCATATGACCCAGGGACCCGTACAAGGAATTATTACCATACTGGCCACATACCACACACTTCCTTTTCATTAATTCTAGTTCTTCTTCTCTTAATATGACATTTTTTCTGAAAAATATTAAAGTATTAAAAGGTCTTGATTTAAAATTCAACCATTTATTTTCAATACCTTCGCTGTCATGTGACCAGGTGACTCCATATCTAATAAAAAGAGGTGTGTCTCATTTTTCCAGTGTAGTAATTCAATGCT